GAACACAGAAGATTCAACGAATCGTTAAATTTTTGTTAATGGCGCTATTCATTGGCTAAACAGGATATCGTGAACAAATAGCCAATAAACGTAACTGAACAAATAAAACAAAACCTCAACTCAAGGTAATGCAAAGACTAGCGCCTATATACACAATACAGTATTATCATAGACAAGAGATTAGTCATCGTGGACAGGAAAACATGATTTCTTACTAGGCCTAAAACAAACGATATATCAGTTCTATAAAATCTAAAATTGTTTGCATAACGACGAGCAAGCCATTTGTTATCTATCTCATTAGCATATAAAATTTATTTGAGAATTAATTCAAAATGGCCACCTTCCGCCATTTTGAAATTTATCTTTTCAGTGTTTCTCCCTACATGGCTGCTTAAGTGCATGGATTTGAAGGTTTTCGACGTCCAGGAATTCATATTTGATTCGCATCGTGAAACACGCATTTTGCAGAAACATGCATTATCATAAATTTGTCACGCATTTAGCACAGGTCTACCCCTGATAACACATTATTACGAATTCAGGGAAAATGCATTTAAAATGAGAATAAATTGGTTATATTTTATTATTAAAAATGTAAAAGTAGGGTCTTCTCCTCTGGAACCCTGAGGGGGCCCGGTGGCCCCTGCACCCCTCCTAGCCAACGGTGTAGTCACGCATTTCAAATCTTTCAGGTTGGTAACTATGTTAATGATTTGATTAGTTTTGACATTTTAAACCTAAGATGGCCGCTACTTTTGTAAACAACCTCATTTTATTGTAAATTCGTCATCGTGTCTTTATAAAAGGCTTTAATGAAAGCTCTGATCATGCTGAATTGACTGATAAACAGTAAAGCTACAATTAATTATATAGAAGTCATCTCAGAGGACAAAAATCAACGTTTATAGTTAATAAAAAATAAATGTTTTAGTTTCATTGGTTATAAAATTCCAGTGTGTTTTACTGTTAATTTCCAGGACTTCGTAATTGACCATGGAGGTAGGCCTAATATAAATATAGTTTATACCTTAAACCGAAAGGTCCACTGATTAATCTCAGATACATTATACAACATTATGTCATCATCAAGCCTGATTATGACATAATTAATGTCGAAATATCGAATCCCGACACGATGGCGTGCATTTCGATACTTGGAGTATGTATTATACTATCTTAGTTTATACCTTCATGCATTGATTAAGGTTTGACTTTCAAACCTAAAAATACTGATGACTGCCAAAGATCAAAATTTGTAATCAATAGAAAATGAAGCTTTTAGCTAGTTACATTGGTTGTAAAATTCCAGTGTACTGTACTATTAATATCCAACAGTCCATATTTGATGTCCGATAAATTTAGGTTTGATCTTCAAATCAAAGGATGCTGTTGATTTTCAGTTCATAGTTGTTAGCTTAAATATTTTGTAAATAAAACTACACAAAGTGCATCTCAGGTTAACAGGTTACAAACCTTGGCTCTTAATTCTCAATGTTTGACTTTGACTTTGTCAGCTTTAACAATTACTCTTCCGTACCGAAATTGAAACAACCCTGATGTCACACTACCAGTGATCACATAGATGGAGACGTATGAGGATACATCTTCTGAGAACATCGCCTGACAATTAACTGTCATACTTGCATTTCATCAGATCACCTAAAGTTGATGCATCAAAACATAAGCCACTTGGACATACGTATGTGTCCTTGCTCTCTAGTACAATTAATTGCTTCAGTGTACTCTATTTCTGTTAGCAGTTGACATAGGCTTAGAGCACCATTTTATCTGCCTCTGGGTGTTTAAATCTATAATTTGTGCTTGCACACACCAGTGCTCAGGTCGGTTGAAGTCTCACCCTTGCAGTAAATGATGTCATGTTGCACCCACCCAATTTGTGTTTTCAACCATTCCATTCCACAAGCTTCATCAGCTTTGTTTGCAGAATTGACCACTTTACTACAGTACTATATTCAACAGCATGGGAAAGTCTGTTTGGGCTTGGGATACTGTAGAAAATGTGATATTTGTCGTTGATATTCTAACATGAGGTATGACTTACAGTACATCTGGAGTGACTTGAACTATAGAAAAATTGTTCTATTTTCTCTATGCTTGAACAAACATGCTGCATCATAATCTCATGCCACGCTGATACACGGCCCATCAAACTTATCATGATAGATGACCTTCCTACAGAATCAAGGACGATTGATCTAAGCAGCAATCCACACATCCCAAATATTTTTCCAAAGCCCAAAGACGTGGTCAGTGCTCACAGAAGTAATCGCAAATACCATCATACCTCTTTTACTGAGCACTGACTGTGACCACACATCAGGAGTGTTTTTGGGTATGCAAAAAATCGAAGAAGGTGATTAACGATCCCGAGGCGAGGGAGCTGCTAAGTTGAGTGGATGAAAGTCTGGATTTAAAGGATGAAGTCAAAGTTGATTAAATCTTTTGTCCTCTCCAAAGTCTATGATGATAGTTCAGACATCTCTTGCAGACAGGGGCGTTTGAAAAGGACAAGCTACATAAATTGCCAACCAGAACCAGCACCATTTTAAGTTGCTAGACTACTAGAACATCTGTCCCCTATTGGTCATGGTTAGGAAGTCATGAATGTGTTGACCACGTGTGCAAACGCTGTCATCCTTGCTGCACCAGCTAGTAAGCAATTAGTAGAGCTCCCATAATACACTAGCGGAAAATTATTATGCGAAGGATAAATTTAATGCTTGAAAAAAATGTCAAGCCTGCAAGACCCTAAAGAAATTTTTGAATGCATTAAATCTAACCTTCGTATAATAATTTCACGCCTAGTGTACTATGCGGAGCTCTACTAATTGCTTTATAATGTCATTAGCCGTCTTTTAATGTTAGTTATGATAATTAACTGTTGTTACCCTATGAGCCAGACTAGGTTTTGTATGCACTTTGAGGTGCAGAGAATTTGACTTCAGAAATTGTTCAGGGTGGTCCAGGAATCACTTTTGGCTTGGTAACACATTTTCAAAATGTAGCGAAAGGTCAAAAGTCAGGGTGAAAGTTCATAGCCATTGGGTCCTTAAATCTCCGCAACCATAGGTGGTAGAGAGTTAACTTACTGTAATGCTAAATATTATAAAAACAAAAAGTTGATTACCAATCAAATTATAACAAATCAATGCATTCAGGGTGTGGTGAAACGATGGGAAAGGTATGTGTGACACATTTTTAGGGAGTCTGTACTGATAAGTTCACAAGTTGTGGTCCGGCTAATCCTCCAAAATATAGAATAACCCCATACTATTTTCGATTATGTTGCATCTGTTGCATCAACCTATTCACTACTAGGCTATGCTATGGTTATTGAAATGGCTTACACAAGATATTTTAATAACCATAGTATGCCATTATTATTTATTTATAAGGAGTAGGTGGCTTGCATGAATCGCATGCCTTGCTGACTCGCAGTTTGTCAATACCTTTCAATTTGACTTTTCACATCAAATGTAACAATTCAAAAATTGACCCCACTAATAAAAAGGTTGCGAATCAATATATGGAGGATGATCTTTAGTTATGCATGATAGTTATGTTTCACACCAAGACGTTTGCAGGAATATATTAAGCAAACAATTAAAGTTGTCTTCATTGTATGACATGTCCTACTGATCAATACTGTAATTGGAGTTTACACGTGGCTGGATTTCTTGAACATAAAAGGATATACACAATAAAGGCCTATTAATTTTTACATTTATTTACGGTAGAATACATGGAGGAATAAAGAACAGCAGGGCAACAAGCATCGGTTCAATGGAGTCGATCACGCAAAGGATTAATGGTGGGAACAGACGCGGATTCCAACATTCTTGAGTATAATAATAGTCTATTGTATGATGCACCCGATGATGCATGTAGGCCTAATACTGTAGTCTCTCAGTTTCTCACATATGTACCATAATATTAGAATCCAGTAGATAGGCCTAATACATACTCCAAGTATCGAAATGCACGCCATCGTGTCGGGATTCAATATTTCGACATTAATTACAGTATGTCATCAGGAATATTGAATCCCGACACGATGGCGCGCATTTCGATACTTGGAGATATGTATACTATCTTATCTGAGATTAATCAGTGGACCTTTCGGTTTTTGGAAAACGCCCAGTAGACATCCACAGGACGACCTAAAATTCCCGCATGTACAATGGTGACGAAAATCAGCTTTGTATTTTCTTTGTGTTGCTTTTTTTCTCCGACTATTATACATTTTGTAAGCGCATCTCATTTTCGAAAAGCACTTTTTAATCTGTAGACCATCTTCAGAACCAAATCAGGCACGGCCGAATTTTGAATTCGA